AAGGGGGGTTCCAAAGTAGGATGGAGCTCGGCTGTTCTCAGTGGTGGCAGATGATAGAACAAGGAGCAATGGTCTCAAGTTGCAGTGGGGGAGGTCCAGGTTGGATATCAGGAAAAACTATTTCACTAGGAGGGTGGTGAAACACTGGAATGCGTTACCTAGGGAGGTGGTGGAGTCTCCTTCCTTGGAGGTTTTTAAGGCCTGGCTTGACAAAGCCCTGGCTGGGATGATTTAGCTGGGAATTGGTCCTGCTTTGAGCAGGGGGTTGGACTAGATGACCTCTTGAGGTCCCTTCCAACTCTGATATTCTATGATTCTATGAAGTGTGGTTTGCCTTTGCAAAGTGACTTTATGAAAGTGACGACATGGGATTCTGTATTTATGTCTCAATGATAATCCATATCAAATACTATCAGTTTTCAACACACAAAAAGATGTTGTTGTTTTCTGATTGCCAGCCCTTCAATCTCTGCTTGGGATTTGAAAATCAGACTGGGCTCTTTCTGCAAGACAGAAATTGTCCTCATTTATACTGGTGAAACTTCTGCCACATTATGACTTTAGTTACACCTGTGCAATCCTACTCCGTTTATTGACAGATCTATAATCACAATACAAAACAAAGAGGAGGTTGCATAAGTGGCCCTACAGTTGTTCACTCAACCTATGAGCCAGAAAAGAATGGAGTTCTCTCTCCCAGATCTGAGTTGGCCCTGCATGGCTCACAGTAGTAAAAATGAAACTGTCATTAAAAAAAGCACACCCGACTGAACATGCACAGGGTGCAGGTCTACTGAATAAGAAGGTAACATTTTTTCATAGTCACTTTTCAGAGTAAAACTGTACTATACAACTTCTACTGTATAGATTTCTACTTTGTCCCAGAAATATTAATTTCAACTCTAGCCGCTGCATTCAGCTAATGGAAATCAATATGCTAGAGCTAAGTTATTTACAGTAAATTTATATCGCAATCAAGCTTGTATTTTAAAAAAAGCTATGGGGGGAGGAGTGGGGAGAGAGCAAGGGGACATAAAAATAGAGAACAACATTTATCTTTCCAGTATGGCAATATACAGTACATTGGATATTAAAGACTCAATAGCACTTGTAAAAATAGGGTTTTTCCCATGTTTTTGTTTGGTATAGAGCTAGCTTAACGTATGCAGTCCTAAGCTTCAAGAAAGGGAGAGAAATCAAGGCATAAATTGCTTGGTTTTCTGGATTCATTGCCAAATAGAAGGGGGAGATCAAACTGAGTTTTTTCTTCCCACTTCATTCTTGTGCCTGTGGACCAGGTCAACCCATGAATGAGTTGCACATTCTGCATTGGAAATATGATCTCCAGTAGCATAAGACCCAAAGTGGCCCCTCATTTTCTTTGTTTATAAGGCTGGCCCTGCCTCGGTCAAATTGCTCCATGCTGCTCACTGTTGTGCTTGCTAAATGTGGTTGTTGCCCTCCAACCCAGTGGGGGACTTGGTTTTCATGGTGCTGCCCTAAGGGTCCACCCATGCTGATCTGACTTCAGGATCAAGGCTATACTTTGTAGAACTGAGCAAGTAGGCAGAAATTAATTTCAGAACATTTCATAAATGTTAGTTTTTTATTTTGCCTGTTTTTTTTCTAAATTAAATTTCACCTGCTTGAATTATAGGTATTTTGAATGTATGTAAATTGTGTATCTTTAACTGACCTACTAACACATTACATAGCAGCATGGGGTTGTTTGTTTTCCCCAAAAATGTCTGAATCCAGAATTGCCACATTTGTCTACATTTATTATCTGAAATTAATTTCAATTCTCAGTATCTGTCAAGTACTTCCTGATCTTTTTAGCATAAAACATGCTGTATAAATGTGACATCATATTATCAATGCTCTTAAAAAGGAATTTTCTATTTTCTTCCAAGTAAGTTCCTATAATGTCACTCCTTATGTATTTTTCTCTCGGGGTAATGGTGGTGCATCTTCTATCTCCTCCTACTTTGGAGATTTTAAACTCTCCAGGGACCTTTAACAAGTATTTCTCTACTTCACAAAATGTTGTGAGAATTATGTCATGCTCAGACACTACACTGATTAGCACAACAGAGAAGCCCATGAACAATCCAGCGTGACACGTAGATTCTCATACACTTTTCATTTAAACATATAGAGATATCTAGACCAAAAAAGTAAAACATGTCAAAATAGTTGTGGGTGAAAGCCCTTTGGGAAATTGCCTCACTGACAGTTTTGCACTTTTCCTTTTCTTGCTGGTGTTATTATTAATTATTGTAACTATTAGAATAACAAAACCAGGATTTGCAGCATAACGGAGAGTGGAAAACTTTGCAACATGTCTATGTTTAACCAAGAAGGAATGAAAAGTCAAAGGAGATTAATCTCGGGATTAAATAATAACCAAACCATTTTAACAAAACTGGATTTGCGTCTCGCAGATTTAAAGGACACTAGTAACAGCAAATGCACAACCAACGGCTCCCTCCCTTACAGCTGCGATCTGTAAGGAATATGGGGGGAGGAGGGGGAACTAGATGGCGCTCCCTCAAACTACTCCACGTTATTGTAACGCTGAACTGCATAGTGTCACGTTTTGGGGCAAAACTCCATACACATATGGTTGGGCAGAGGAGTCACTACATTCATTTAGGCGGTGTGACAGGGCGACCGCTTTGTCTAGATCTCCCCCCAACCACCCATGATGCTAGGAAACTGCTAACACCAGCCCATGACCCGGTCATCATGATCTACACAACAAATCTTCCCCAAGCTTGAGGATCGCCCCCGGCAGGGAGCCGGCTATTGGTCTAAGGGAAGAGCAAGGGTGCGAGCGGATTGACTGACAAGGCAGTTTTACCTACCTTGACGAAGAGGGAGATGTCATGCTCTTGCGTCTCTTCCCCGGGTTCACCAGGTGTGCTCGCCTCATCCTCTTCCTCTCCCTCGCCCCTGCCCTGCATGCCGTTCAGGTTCATGGCTTCTTCGCCTCTCTCCGCTCCCGCAGGCTCCCCGGTTGCATGTGGCTCTGTTAGGTGGTTGCTCAGTTCATCCCCACCTGGGGTGTCCTCTGGGCTTTCTCTTGTAGCAGCATCCTCTGTGCTTGCGTGTTCTTCTGCTGCTGGTATTTCCTCGGTTGCATGGCCTGCGACGTCTCCTGCCGCGGGGCTTTCTTCGCTTGGCTCAGTGTCTTCGGGATTTGCTCCCGCTGGTGCAGTGCTTTCCGGACTTTCTCCTGCCCTAGTTTCGTCCTCAGCTGCATCCTCCCCTTCATCGGGCTTTGCTTCTGCCGTTGCATCTTCCTTGCCATCCTCTTCCTCTCTCTCCTCCTCTTCGCGCTCTTCTCCCTCGGCGGCTCCTTCCTCGCCTGCCACATCCCCGGGCTTTTCTTCCTCTCTCGCGTCCTCCCCAGAGTCTCCTTCAGGCTCTTCTTCCTCCCCGGCAGCCTCTGCAGGATCTTCTGCCCGGGGGGTTTCTGCCCCGGGGGCTGCACGTTCTGCGGGTCCCCCTTCCGCGGGGCTTAACTCCGAGCTCTCGCCTCCGGTGCTCTCCTCCGCGGGGCTTGGCCCCGGGCTCCCTCCTCCGGTGCTCTCCTCCGCGGGGCTTGGCCCCGGGCTCCAGTCTCCAGTGCTCTCCTCGGCGGGGCTTGGCTCCGGGCTCCCGTCTCCGGTGCTCAGCTCCGGGCTCCCGTCTCCGGTGCTCTCCCCCGCGGGGCTTGGCCCCGGACTCCCGTCTCCGGTGCTCTCCCCCGCGGGGCTTGGCCCCGGACTCCCGTCTCCGGTGTTCTCCCCCGCGGGGCTTGGCCCCGGGCTCCCGTCTCCGGTGCTCTCCTCTGCGGCGAGCTCTGCAGGTCCTTCGCCCTTCCCGCTTCCCCCGGCGTCTCCTTCGGCCCTTTCCTCCGCACGCTCCCCTGCTGGGCTGTGCGCTGGGGCAGGCTCCTGCTGTTGCCCCTCGGGGCTCCCTGCTCCTGCCTCCTCTTCCCCCTCTCCGCCGCTCTCCGCCGCGCCCCGGTCCCCGGGCGCCTCCTGGCCCTTCCCTTCAGCTGCTCTTTCTGCTGCACCCTCCTTCCGCCAGGGGCCGGGGGACTTCTCCTCCGTCGCCCCTTCCTCGCTCCCTCCCTCCTCCGGCTCTTGGGAGCCCTCTGCCCCGAGCGGCTCCGGGCTCTGCGCCCCGCGAGGCTCTTCTGCAGGAGAAGGGGGGCTGCTCTCCATGGCAAGGGGCCGGAGTGTGGGTCCTGCGAAAGGCGCCGCCGCCGGGGACTCCTGCCGCTGGCTATGGCGACTCCTCGCTGCACCCGCGGGGATTAGCGACTGGCCCGCGCCCAGGGCCAGCAGCACCTGCTCTGCGCCCGAGAGCGCCACGGGGCCGTTTGCGCATGCTCCGTCGCGGCGGCTGAAGCGGCTGCCCTAGCTCGACCCTGGCTCGCCCTCAGAACCTGCTCCCCGAGCCAGGCGGGGACAGGGCGGGGGAGGTGGCAACAGGAGCGGGGGGGTGGCAAAGCCAGGGGGCGATATAGGTTCTGGAACTAGCGGTGCTGGGGGGGTGTTGCCGCTGCCGCACCCCCCTGGCTTCCCATGATAGACCAGCTTTGCAGTTTGGTTGAATGGCTTTCAGCACCCCCATTGTACAAATTGTTCCAGCACCCCTGGGGGGAGAGGGGAAAAGGGAGTCACAGTAGAGAAGATTGGGGCGCGGGGAGAAAAACGGGGATACAGGGGCAGGAGTAGTTGGGCTTGCGCTCCTCCTTAGACGTTTTATCTCTGCACTGAACTGTGGCAGCAAAGCCACTAGCTATCCCCCAAAGACTCAGCACTTTCTGCCGTGGGGTTTATGGTGTGGAAAAGGATTCCCGGCCAATGTCCTGCTGGGATTCACAGGGCTACAACAACACTGCTTGGGGGCGGGGGGGGGAGTGGAGGAGCCAGTTGCCCCTCTGCATGCAGAGCAGAGGCAGGAAACTGGTGGGGAACTGCTGCTGGCACAAAACAGACGTGTTTCTCCATGACCAAACCTCCTGGTTTTTCTCACCGGCGGGTCAGAGCTCTCAGTGGGCAACACGGGTTCGCTAGAGCAGCCAAGACACTCCCGATCCTTCAGGAGGATCTGTGTACGGCCGCAGTCAACTCTGCGCAGCCTGGGTTGCTCTGCTCCCAACTCCGCAGCTAAATACCCTCCGGCTCAGCGCAGCACGCTCCTTCGGTACTCTGGCGCTCCCTCCCCAGCAAGCTCCCAACCGGGGACCAAAATCCGCTCGCTGTGCTCTCATACGGCTGCGCAGGCTGCATTTGCTTCTCCGGCTCCCGCTCTGGCTTCCCCTTGCCAAGTTTTAACAACTTGCCCTTTGCAGTCCTTCAAATATCCTGCCCTTGCCTGACTACAGACGTATCCTGCTCACAAGTCCTTGAAGAAACCCTCATACCTTCATTGCGTTTTGGGCAGGACGTAACCTCTTGGGTGGCCTGACATTGACGAACGTAAGAAAGTAGCCCAAACTGTAACTGTATCCCAAAATGCTTCACCGAGTTAAACAATACAGCGGTTGGGCTACATTATAAACAATAGCCAAGGCAGAGAGAAAGGAAGTAGGAGAAAGGAAGAAAGCTACCTCCACATATGAGTTTTGAAAAGAAATGGAGAGCTAATGCTGCAGAGACAGAAGAAGGCTGTTCCAAAAGGCAGGAGGAGGTGATATTGGGAGTGGGGGAAGATTAGGCAATTTCTACTTGAGAAAGAAGTTTGTGAGAGAGACAACTGCAAATCCAGGGAGGGTTTCAAAATTAAGGAGAGAAATCTTGGACTGGATTCTGATCTTCACGGGAAGCCACGGGAGTTGTTGGGAGATGGAGATGATGGAGTTGTGCCCTTTGTATGGGTGAAAAAACTCCATTCTGCATATGCTGGAGTCTGAGAAGCTGGGTCTTAGGCAGGCCCTATAGAAGGAAAGAAATTGTTCAGAGTGGGAAAGAGGATATAAAACATGGGTAAAGATTTCTGCATAGATAGTGCTGAATGCAGATAACGTTGCAAAAGTGGCGACAGGCAAACTTGCAGGCATAGCTGATGTGGGAAGAGGATACAGAAGAAAGAATAGCACCAAGGTTACTGCGATTGATAGCTATATTGGGATATCTGATTGATCATTTTGATTACATTTTTGAACTCCTGTATGGGAACTAAACTCAAGGCTCTGGATAGTATGGCCAAGGATAAGAAGGTGGATAGCAGAAAGTAGAGAACTGAACGTCGTGGGCTAAAGATTGTGGTACAGAAGTGGACCCACTATAAGAGAGTGGTTTGATAGCTAGAGGGAACCAGAGTTGCCTGCATAGCTATGTACATGGTCCAGCGGTGTTCCACAGTGCCACAGGCTGCAGTGAGACCGAGGAGAATGATCTCATTTGCATAAATCCAAGTTTATCAAACGTACCAGTATCTATTAAAACTGTTATCTATTTGGCAACATGCAACAAATTCTCAAAATCCTTGTACCAAGAAGAACCACTTGATCACCGAGTAGCGGAACAGCGCACAACACCGCAGGTCCTAAGCAAACAATTATTTAAAAAAAAAAAAAAGAGCGAAAGAACACTTACATAATTTCAATAGTTACTTCGAAGCTGAAATATATTCCCAAACAGTTTGTGGGCTGCTTTTTTTTCGGAAGCAAACCTCCTTTAATATTAATATTAACCTTGCATAAAGCCATTCAAGTATTAATACCAATTTGCATGCAGTCATAAGAATGAGCATTGCATCATGCTGTGAAAAACACTAGCTCTGCAATCCTTACTGTAAGTAGCATTCATATATTATCTAGCTATATATTATAGTAATACTCTATAAGAGTTCTGAGTTTACGACTGAGTTGAAATGGATATAAAAATATAATAAGGAGGGATTACCAGTAACTTTGAATTATGGGAGGGATACCGAAAATTCAAGGTGCATAAATTCGGTTATATAGCACTGATTTAGGGTATCCCAGCTGTTTTTTGTTTTTTTGTTAGGAGGTTGTTTGTTTTTTGTACTTCTCTTGCTCATGGCATAATTTAAACTTTTTACAAAGATTTTAGCTGTTTTTTGTTATAAAGATAACCTTCCAATGAATGTGAATTGATGTGAACATTTGTTTGCAGACGGTCTGAAATTACGGGTCTCAGAGAGGTGTGACCATAAGTCTAGTGATGACAATTTAAATGTCAACGTTAACTATTTCATGGCTGATCAATTTAGCAGAAACATCCTCTCATCTTCTTATATGCACGGCTGGATTCATTAGGAAGAAAGTTCTCCAGGCATGAGATGCCAGATTTTAAAGATGAGAGTAGCTGAGTTTAAAAATAATAGTAACAGTGTTTTGGGGGTGGGGGAAGGAGATAGATTCTCAACATAAGACTCTGGGAGAGATGGGAAGAGAGAAGATCTGGAGAGATAGTAAGATCTGGGAAAGAGTGGAAGATCTGGAGGAATAAATCACAGGATGAAATGAAAGCTCAACTCTATTTAAAACTATTGAGTAATGATTCAAATAAATTACCATATAATTTATTAGTGGTTTCCATATGTGTTTATAGTAAGTTTGATGGTGAACAAAAAAGAAAAATATAATGGTGGGATGAAGAATAGCTTTGCTCTCTTAGTTTCTCATGTCACTAGCATCCTTTGATGAATGTACAGCCTCTTAATTCGTAGTCATTTGTGAGTATTTCCATAGCTCCATTTGTCTTATGTCTGGTTAACTGAAGATTGGTCAGGTCCCCCAGTCACATGCACACCATACATTGCTCCCCTAATTATTTTGCAAACGTTTCAGGTGTTACATGGAGTGCAGCTGAAGACAATAGTGAAGGTAGGCCACTACCCTTAGCCATCATGTTGTCTGATCTGCTCTTATTAAGGTTAGATGGCATAGTGGCTAAAAGGATGATGATTAGTCTACAGTGGTGCTCCCACCAGAGCTACAAATGGTGAAGCAGCAATCAATGGTACAGGAATGGTGGGAAATTTGTAGATAAATGCTAGTGTGCACACAGCCATTGAAGTAAACAGATTGACTTCACTGAGAGCACTAATGAGGCCCCACTTGTTTAAATATATAATTAAACTTAGAAGAAATTCTCTTGCCAAAATAGGGTCCCCTTCACATATTAGCACCACTATTACACACAAGGAGAAACAAGATGTTGAGATAGCTGCCCAATGATTGTATCCTTGTTCCCTTTTTGCTCATAGACACATATACATATACTACTGTCATAGAACAGAAAGTCATTCTTTAGAAGAAAACAGTTATCTTATGTTAAAACAATGACTTATTTTTGTATACCACATCAAAACCCCGTTGTTTGTATTACCATCCATATCTTCCCTTGCACTTTTATCAGTTTATTATTCTAGAAACCTGCTTACTTTCCCTTTTAAAATGTAAACTTGAACAATATATCAAACAATTTGAACTCTGAATTTTCCTAAATGTTTATTTTATTTTCTAGTCTATTTCTCTGAATCCTGGATCTTCCCCTGTCTCTGGTACTTCTTTACTGGCTCACTATCTGGGGGGAAGAGGGAGAGGCAGAATTTGCTAAATCACCTTTGGAGATTTTCTTCTGGATCTTGGACCTTGCTTTTCACTTTCATGGACCACTCCAATGTCCTTTTGGATGTCTTGTTTGCCTTTCAGTGTGACTGTGTGTGTTCCTTCACCTTTAGCACAGCACTTCTCAGCTTCTGTCTGACTTCAAAAAACCATTGTGTTCATCAGTGTTCTCTTGGTAGCTCCTGAATGGTCCCTTTGCTTCTGAAAGCTGGTATTGCATGCTCTGTGCTCTTAAATGGTGATTCCTTACCAGTGTCCATGACAATCCACTTTCAATCAGCATGATTCTCTAGTTTTGTGTGGCAATAGGCATCATAGCATCCTGTTAGCTCCTACTCCTTTGTTCTTAGTAGTTATAGGAGACTTCTTCTTTCAAACTGTCCTTTGGATAACAAATCTTCACTTGACCAGTTGTCTATTTTAGTCTTAATTTCAGTTTGTCTTCAGATTGCCATTCCAACATGGGAGCTTGGAAGCTCAGATCTGGACCCAGTCAAGCCCTTTGTTTATAATGGATTTAGAACAGAGATGAATTTTGGCTAAAGGGCCCAAATTCAATAATGATATAAATTATGTGCCCAAGTGTAAATCAGCCAAAGATGGGTGAGTTGTAAGTAGGTTAGTAGTGGAATTTGCATCATTTAGTAATGAGTGGGTGACTGAAAAGGGATAATTTACACCAGTTTGGTATTCTGGGATGGTGAGTGTGTGGCAAATTATTCTCTGCTTAGGTGGATGTAACTCCCATTGTTTTCAGTGGAAGTTGAACCCACCT